AGTGGTGTGGGGATGGGCTTAGTAATTACTGGTTCATTCTCATCCTGAGTGTAGCCTTTTGGGGGGCCTGCTTTATAGCAGGAAGATTTTTGATTTGTTTATTGTCTTGTTAGGCTCTCAAAATTGAAGGTCAGAGTCCCTTGGTTTGGTATGTGCCCCAAGACAAAAGCACCTTCACTGCTTAGCTACCACTTCAGAGTTCCATTTTCACTTGGATTTTGACCTCGTAATTTCTTACTGTCCTGTTAGTTCAATACTTTTTAAATTTAAAAAAGTTACTCATTAGTTTTTGTTTTCTGACGTTTTCAGGGAACATGGTCAGAATTACCTAGCTTGCTTACATATCTGGAAATAGAATCTTCTAGTAATAAAAATACAAAGAAAACTTTTGTCAAAATTGCTGGATTGCACAGAAGATTCCTGTAATTTCTTCTTAAGCTTCCCACAGTACATAATCAGATTTCTTAATTTTACTTCCCAAGCTTCTCTTTCACCACCTGTAAAAAGGCCATTTAAAACAGCCACCAATTTTGGAATTCACATCAATGAATCCATAGAACCCCTTGGGAGCTTAATTAAAATTATATTTATTTACTTTAATTTATTTAAAAAACAATTTAATGTGATTAAAATCTTAAAATTTCCAAGAGCACCATTAGATGTTTAAATAGAGGGAAGGCCACTTGGGAGCATGCACCTTGAATGCTGACCTCTGCTCCGTAGCCAACTAGTGTTCTCACTGTGGTCTGCGGAACAATCACTTTGTTACATACAAGTTGTTTTATTTGTAAATGAGAATTTCTCAGTGAAGAGCAGCCATAGCTTTAAGCAAATTCTCAAAGGTCTAAGACCCAAGGAAAGTTATGAACTACTGAACTATATACAAGGCAACCTTAGGCAGGTAATTTATTCTTTTTATGCCTTAGTTCTCCAATCTATATTTTCAAGACACAACCTTACTTTATGAATTTACTGTAAGGATTTTTCAAAAAGATAATATGTGAACATGCTTAAGTTACTCATCTCTTAAATCAACAGTAAAATGCTCCACCTTTTTGAAATATTTATTAAAATGTTCAGGGTATATTATACAGGGCATCAAAGCCCTGTAGAAAAGTGTTTATCTTAATGACATTTACTCAACAAACATTTGATGTATACTAGGTGCTGAATGCAGGAGACACAGATGCCTTGTATAGGACAGACCTGTGGATTGTGAGTGCTTTTACAAATACACTCAATACCTATGGAGAAGAAGAAGGGCACGTGGGGAGGGGAGAGCAGAATGAGCTGCACAATGTTTCACCTAATACTTACAATGGGCTGGCCAAAGGCAGGCATCCTGGCTGAGGGGGTCAGCATAAGCAAAGGCAGTAAAACAGAAAATAGTGTAATGTTTCTATGTGCATGTGTGTTAATGCACACTGCAAGTTAGTGATGCTGGCACAGAAAAGGAAGGACCAGACATGAAGCTACCTGTGTGGCATGGGCCAGACCAGGGAAGGTTTTCTGGGTTTGGCTGGTTTCTGAGCATTACCAGTAGGCTAAAAGAAGGAACACCAAGTACTTTAAGCAGGGGACTGAAACTATTATATTTTGTTACATACTCTGGTAGCAGAGTGGGAGAGACAGGGAGCTGAGAATAGGAAATCCAGTTGGGCATTTTTTATATTGTTTCAGAAAGAGACTTGTGAGCTTGAAATGGGATTTGGGGAGCAGACAGACTGTAACATTATTCAGCAGGTAAATCAGTGACTGTGAGGTGGATTACATGTGTGGGAGGTTAATGGAGAAGGAAATCTCGTGTCTGCCAATGAGGCAGCCAAGCTGAAGGATTATAGTAAGTGTGGATCTGGTGCACTTGAGTAGGTATCTGGATGGAAATGTATCATAGATGGGTAGGGAAAGTCAAAAGTCTGGGCTAGAGATAAGAATGCATGGAGGCCTTGGTAGATAGGTGAGTCCTGAGACCATATGAGATCAGGCAAGGGAAATATGGAGATAAATGGGACATGCCGACATTTAAAAGGTATTGGTAATTATGGAAAGAGCCCTAGAGAAGAGATTCAAGATGTTATAGCATAAAAGACAACTAAGTATTCCCAACGAATGAGCAATGGTAAATACAGGAGAGCTCCTCCTGTGAGAACGCCACATACTCATTTGACAACGGAAAGGTCACTGTTAATGAGGGATGAGAACCAGACTGGAGCTGGACAGGAAGTGAGGCAGTAAATGGAGAGGAAATGTACACAGCTCAGAAAATCTGGATGTGAACACAAGGAGGGAGACCCACAGCTGGTGTTATTAAGGGAGGCACTTTTATGTTTTCTTTTTTTTTCAAAGAAGAGGAGAAACAGGAACATGTTTGTTTATTGGCTGAGTAGAAAGGGAAAGGCTGAAGGTTAGGAGTTGGTTTTCCCCAGGCTCAGAAATCTGGTAGAAATCTTCAGGTAACTTATGAAGACCTAATCAGAAGTAAACTTTTAGCCAATTCATCAGGAAAGCTTATAAGCACAAGAGCTAATTCATTTTAATAACAACTACAGAATGATCTCCCTAGTTAAGTAAAAGATATAACAGCTCAGTAGCCAATTACAAACTTAAAATTTTAAGAACAGCGGGTCAGGATAATAACTCTTAAACTGAATTGTTTCCAACCAAAGAATGATGCTTTTCTCTGGGATAACATAAATCAATATAAACCAAAACTGTACTTTTTTGCAGAGATTATGCTGTAAGTTGGTAGAAAAATCAACTGGCAGGCTACACTACTCACTGAGAGAGCAAGGTTAGCTCTGAAAAGTGGTAAAAGCCTCAGGTCCCTTGTGAATATACCAATGAAGTCACCAAAAGTCCTGTATACCAGTGAGGTGAGGGGTCAGTCAGCCCATGTGACAGTATGCAGGCAAATTCCTGATTTTCCTAAGAATTCATTTTCATGTTAATTTAAGAAGTTTTTGGTGAGGTTGATAACTCAAATGATTTTAAATTCCTAAGAACCTATTTCTCTTTGCTGAAATAACTTAAATATTTTAATAAACTTTAATGGAATGAAGAACTGTGAACCAAATACAGTTGTCTCTGGGGAAGAGAATAATTAGAGAAATTTCTGAATAAAAAATTAAAATGACGTGGGAAGAATCTGAATACATGGGAGAGGCTACTGGTTTAACTGGCTACAGACTGATGTGGCTGGCCTCTTTAAAAAATAAAATGTAGATCTTAAAACACTCAAAAACAAACAAAAATTTAAAAATATATTTAAAGGCTTGAACACTTGGGCCTGTATCAGTAAAAGGGATGTTTGTAGCAAGCTAAGGAAACCAAGAAATTTTTTATCTAAATTATTCCTTCCCTTATCCATTTTAGTCGTCAAATGGATGGAGGGAAGGAACAGGAACAAGGTTTAGGACATCAAACCGTTGGCAACTGTACTCAAGCACTTTTTAATCAGCTGGTACTTGTCAGCTATGTTTGGACCCTTCCAAGTGGCTGAGCTCCTTGTGCAGGCCTGCCTATCAGCACTTCCCACTGCCTGATCCCTTTGAAGTTCGCACCCCTCCTCACTGCTGCCTGGTCCCTTCCCTTCACTCACTGAACACTTTGGCACCTGATTTAGTTTTCCTCTCCACTACAACTTCTGCCATCTTCCTGGAGGATTTATTGTCTACCCATACAACCCACTTGTCCTTTCAGGTTTCTTGGTCTTGTCTTGTCTTGTCTTGTCTCCAATGGCCTTTCCTTCATTTGGCCACTGCAAAGTCACACCTTGGATTGTACTACACCATGAACTTGCTCCTCTCAAATCATTAAATCCAGGCATCCATGGTGTCACAACTAGTGTTTCTTGTCCTAAACTTGCCTGTTCAGCTCCCAGCAGATCAGAGCTGTCATTAGACTATCCACTGGACTCGAGCTCGCAATGCTTTCTTTGTGTTGCCTTCACACCCTCACCTATCCAGTTTAGATACTGTGGGACCATTACTTCAACAACTCAATTATTTCAATCACTATTCAATTATTGTCTCTTTTTCTTTTAAACTTATCTAGCAAAACTCCAAGTGTCTCCATTTTCTCTGTGTCTGTACCCAAGCATCACAGTGCTACTAGGAAGGGAAAGAAAAAAAATCAGAGCAGGCAAATTTTCACTGTAAGTTCTCACTCACCAGAGTTGGGTCCTCCACATTATTCTACAATCCTATTATACCTCCGGGTCACTTTATTCACCACAGTAACTGTTTTGAAATTGCAGTTTTAAAAACTATCCCTCTGGTCTCTGACTTGACAAAATCTGCATATACACCTAGCCTCTCTTCCTTCTAAAATAAAAACACCCCCTTCCATTTAAGAGCCAATCCCTCCACCAGTGCCTCGGACCCCATCCTCTTCTACCTTCTGTGGAACCCAATACTTTCACTGTTCCCTTCTGGCTCTTATATCTTTAACTTCTCCCTCTTTCCTGGATCCTTTTTAAAGATAAAGCAATAGCTGAAAAAAGGAAAGCAAAACATGCTACTGCCTCATTCTCTCCTTTTCATGTCCCAAATTCAGAGTTGTGTAGTGTAGCTTCTTTCTGACATCTGCCTCCTCTACTATCTGTAATGAAATCTCTAAGCCTCCAATTATTTCCAGGAGGTTAAACCCAATATATGCTTTTGATTTCTCACTCTACTTGATCTCTTAGCAGTATTAAACACCTGTGCAGGAAAACTCTCTTCCCTTTGCTTTCATGACTTTATTCCTCCCGATTTTCTTCTACCTCTTTAGCTACTGCTTGTCAATCTCCTTTGCCTGCTCACCTTTTCCCACCTAACTTTCAGAGATCCTATGGTTTTGCCCTTTCTTTACTCTAAAGCAGAACTTGGCACATTTTCTTCTTTAAATAGTCATATAGTAAATTATTTTTAGGCTTTGCAAGCTGTAAGGTCCCTGTTAAACTAAACGCTGTCACTGTAGCATGAAAGCATACACAGATAATAATTAAACTATGAGCAAAGTTGTGTTCCAATAAAACTTTATTTATAAAAATAGATGAAGGACTAGGTCTGACCTGTGGTTTGCCAGGCCATGCTCTACACTCTCCTTAGAGAAGTACTTTTTCCTGTGCTTCCAAGGGCCATCTATACATCAAATTCTTATCATGAGACCCTTCTGCCCCCAAATCTATATACCCAGCTACCTAATATACACATTTAAGTATCTCAAAGACGTCTCAAGTCTTTATACAGGAATTGTGCTTTCTCCCCAAAACTGGTCTCCTTCCAGTGTTCTTAGTTAAGAGGCACTGCTATTCATAAAGTTGCACAAAGCAGAAAACAGGAGTCATCTTTGACACCTCTCCCTCTCACTCTGTAATTCTTTGAACTGAAGGAAGACCAAAAAAAGGCAAGTCTAGAAATATGCCATTATTGGAAGCACACAGTCAAATTTAACGTTTCACTAATAGAGCTAAACTTTATTTCCATGTTTATTAAATGTTTATCTTTGATGTCGAATACATATTAGAATTGATTTAACATACAACTTTGGAGAAAAGTGGACATTCTCCACTGAATGGGTTAAAAAGGAATGTAAAACTACAAAATACTTGTTTAAATGTTGAATTCTAAATTATGGCAAACAGAACAATAAATACCTTGCCATTTTTCTCTTTCTAGTTTTCCAAATTATAAAATATTTTTCATAACAATTTATTTCAAGAAAGGAAATAAGGGATAATCACTAAAACCATTTTACTTTAAGTATAGAGTACAAATAAAGAGTCTTAACACAGAACTCCTATCTCCTATTTAAAATACAAATACTTCATGATGTTACGAATTGAGGAGGATTAACTGATGTTAGCTGCAAATCTAAAGATTTAAGCAAACCCACATGCCATTTGCTTTTGCCTGGTATAGTTAGGCTGATTTAAGGGTGACATGGCAGAGTTCTATCTGATTATCTATGTTAACCACTGCTACTCAGAATGGTGATGGGCTAATACTAAGTGCTTAGGATGGAAATTCAGGATTAATCAGTTACAAGTGGCTAAGAGCTAACAGAATTAATCATTCTGCCCTGCCATCTATGGCCATGTCCAAATGTACAGATTTTAGCATTCACTGAAAATTTTAAAATAAAACTCCTCTAGATACTCTGAAACTGCTGAAATTCACAGTACAAAATAATACTGTCTGTAGTATAATTCCAGTGTTTGAACAAAATCAAACTTATGGGTGGTCATCACAGGTATTATTGGTAATAAATGTATTTTCTTTTAATTTACTATAAGCCCCTTAGCACATTTTGTGAAGATGTGTTCTTTTTAATGCTACTAATTGTTACTTGGATACATTTTAAAAATCAGCTTAAAATTATTTTTTACCAGAAATTACAGGACGAAAACTTGTACTGAAAGAGAATAACGCTTACTATTCACATTAAACAAGTGTTTAGAATCATCTGCAAAAAAAATTACTTTCTCGTGTAACTGTTCAGGTCAGATGACTTATGGCTTTTCAATTTATAAAATTTCACATTTAATATGTTAAAGCTTTTCTAAATCGGTCTTCCAACCAGATTCTTTGATGAGAAAAGAAAGGACAAAAGAGAGACGAACTCTGTATCAACTTAGCCTCCTCTCTTCCCTGAAAACCATTATTTCTCATAAAATTCAAGGCACACTCCTGAAGAGCCAGATAATAAACATTTCAGGCTTTCTGGACCATGTGGTCACTACTGCAACTATTCCTGCTACTGCCTAAGAAAGCTGCCACGGACAAGATTTTACCAAAAAAAAAGAAAGAAAGAAAAAAAAAAAGCAAAAGCAAAAACAAAGCGCAGTCCAAATTGGCCTGTGGGCCATAGATGTCCAACCCCCTGCCTTACAAGAATAGACCTATATGTAAAGGAATCAATTATAAACCCCAAAAGACAAACAAATGGTCTCCTGTCAGATGTGCTGACTGACTCAGAATCTAGCAGTTAACACTCTAGAACATTGTGAGGTTGAACACTTTGAAATTAGCCAACTTTCTGCTTCTGGTTAAGATTCTTCTATTCAAACATGTCATCATGCTTTTTCATTGGGGATCATTCATCTTCATTTAAAAACTTAATGAAATCCTATTTATTAAGGGATTTAGTTTAAAATTAATAAATGATGTCCATACAATTTAATGTTCAATTTAATTTTTTAAAAAACTTAATGAAAAATATAACAGAATCAAAAAATTTAAAATAATAAGTACACTGACTACCCATTCCAGTATTAAGTCATATTAACCATAGAATAGGAAAAATAAATTCAGACGTGTAATTACTTTAAAATACACTACTTCCATTTTTGTCAGTATTTTACATTTATGTATATATTCTATAGTGGAAGCAAAAATTCTTTCTAAAAACATTATCTCCTTAAAATCTTGAGGTGCATATTATAGCCACAGGCAATATCTGACATATAAAACTGCAGTACAGGCCTTTCAGATTTGGCATTTCACTGGTACAATACAATGACCAACGTATATAATCACTGTACAGTGCCTAGACATTCCAGTAAGAACCATTATTTTCTTTAATGTAGAATGATTAATACATATTCTACAAGGGGCAGTGAAATTAGTAATTCTATAGGGTATGTCCCAACATAATTTTCAAATTGTACATAACACAAACAACTTTGTTAAGGCCATGTTTTATTTGCTGATTAATGGACAAAAGGCAATGTAAATTATTTTCAAGTATTTTCTTGAAAGTCTGTGCTCATAAAAATCATGAAAAGTTGGAAAGTGTTAAATCACTGAAACTTTAAATATATCGTACACAATCTTGTTTGTACAAAAATACAAGTTAAATATAAACATAAAGCAATCATAATTTTATGCAAATCTGTTTTATGTGATCTTTAGTTATATATAAAAGTTTCTCAGTTCTGTTATTTGAGAAAAGATCAATACCAGATTAAATTACTATCTATTGGCAAAGGGCCTAAAAAGCTTACTTGAGCATTGATCTTTTACATGGTCAAGTGTATTTCCTAATTTGAGATCACCTAAACACTGGAAAAAAAGAAAAAAATTAAAGGGCAGTATGTCCATAAACCAACAAATAATTTGGCTGTAATGTATCATAAAATAAAGAAACCCCACACATCTGTACAATGTGTTATGTATCACACATTCTCACACACAGGCAAGAACACTCACGCAGTCAGAAAACAAAGCCTAATGAGGTGCTGCTTCCAGTTCAATATTCAGCTTTGCATTTTTTCTTACTTCATCAAATGAATAGCTTTTTGTCACCTTCCCATTCTTGAAGACAGTATGGAGAAGATCCTGCACAAATATAACAATACTAAAATTTAATGATTAGACTATCAAGCAAAATACTTACCGTATGCGATGCTTGATGAATGAGTAAATACAGAGTTATGCCTCAAGTTATGAAATTGTTTTATATGCAGAGAATGCTGGTGGAGCAGGCAGAGAGCAAAGCATTATCTAAAATGGTTATGTAGAAATATTTAATTTTTATGAACAGAAATGATTTAACATTACATTCTTAGGACAGTTTTCCTTAAAGAAAAAACCAAAACACCTAGATGACCCCATGTTCCCCTCCCCCCCAGGTAGAACACGAGTTGCCCAGAACCCTGGCTGTTGCTGATAATCACCACTGACAGTGCAACAAGAAAAACCTGCCAGACTTTCCCTTGTTCCTAGCCAACAGACTCAACACCAGTTAAATGCATAAGCCTGGAATTTAATAAATTTGTTAGTTACCGAGTTTTTGATTTAAAATAAGCAAACAAACAAAACCCTGAAAAAGAAGAAACCAAACCTAAACAGAAACAAAAATAATTATTGATTTCTTAACTAATGCACAGTGACTGATTTAAAGAGACACTGTATATATCCAAAAGTCACTGATATATGTAATCCATTTGATCCCTGCAAGGGCAGCAAAGATATATTAGCAAAGACAATTTAAGAAATTAGGACTAAATTCCCTTTTGGGTCTGTTAAAGCCACTACTGTCTCACTGAAGAATTATCTGCTTCTAACTTCCCCTTGAAAAAAACATAATCTACCATGCTTAAGTTTTCTATGTAGTCTGAATATTGTGAAACATATGATATTACATATCATTGTTTTTTAAATCGCACTGCTCTAGCCATAGCATTTTCTTTCATAAAGTTAAATATAACCTGTCAAAATGCTTAGATACTGCCTTAAATATTCTGGAATATCATTCATATATGCTTAATATCAATGCCTTTTTTAAATTAATAGTTATGATTATGCCTAAAGTAATTCAGGATAGTCCTGGTAGCTACAATTAAGTGAAAGCTACTCAAAGAACTGCATAAACAGGCTCTATAAAGGGATCTAATTCTAAAATTTGTTTATAAACTTTTTTTCATTAAAGTTAACAAAAATGTTACTTTGCTAATTCTGGTTCAAAATCTTAAAATATAATAAAAGTAACAAGTAGAATATTTGAAATGGTATAACAAATCTAAAGTTATAAGTTAATGTGTTTATGTTTAATGTAAATTTTCTCTTGTGAATATATTCATGAGTAGTTTCCCTCTAAAATTGAGTAGTTTTTTAATTCAGAGGCTTCAAAAATAGAAATTTTGTAACTTTTGAGTTCACAAATATAAACATACTTGTATATGTTAAAGACCATTAGATCATGTGGGCTACTTTAGCATACTATAAATTTTTCCAATTTGGTTGACTTGAATCCGAAAACAGTTAAGTCTAGGTTTCACATTTTATTCCTTATGTAATCACATAGTTTTCACCTTTTACACTAATAAGGTAACATAATTTGCCTTTTTATCCCATAGAGTTGCTGTGACAATCAAATGAGACTAAAGAAAACCATCTAGACTGGATTCTGTTGTTTTTAAAAAATGAAGTTAACTTTAACAACATTTGAGAATTTGGAGAGCCTTTCTTTTAACTATTAAAATTACCAAAGCTTATAGTAATATAGATAGCTATGGGAAGTGTAAGAGCATCCTTTAAGTGTTTGTAATATTCCTCTTTGGAAAAAGTTCACTACTAATTGGCAAAAAAAAAAAATTCTCTGCTAATGGGCAAAAAATGGAAGATCAAATACAACAGCTTGCTGAAACTTATAGTCACTACTCTGCTGGTCACTATTTGGAAAAACTTTTACTTTTTTTGAATGTTACAAAATATTTCACCCAATGTATAAATAAGTCTCACATTTATGATCTAACCATTTTTTGTTTTTCATCCTAATTGGGTAGGCTAAGTCAGCTATTGTATAATTTATAAAAAACTACTTTGTCCTCCAAAAAAATTGTTCTGAAAATAATTTAAAACTAAAATACAACATAAAATCCTCCTTTTTAAACTTGGAGAGCCAAGCTATTACTGTTAAAACAAAACAAAACAAAACTTCATTAGCATAGATACATACATGACCATATTCCTCAAGGTCTCCTTTTCCTTCCTCTAGTGTAACAAAATTCCCTGCTGGTGTCCTATGTAAAGATAATCGGCCCTTTTTGGACCTTTTGTTGGGATCAGCAACTGGGTCCTTGAAGACATTAATCTGAAATCCAAATTCAGAAAAAGAAGACTAATCGTAAGAAATGGTCACTTAACTCTATTTTAAAAAGCCATACACTTAATTTATGTATAAATTCTAAGGCATTTTATAGGTATAATGAAACCAATCCACATCAAACTTTTAGAAACATAATTCTAGCATGTTTTGGAGGACAGAGTGAGTCCTCTGCTAGGAAAAAAACAAAATCTAAATCTTGGCTATCCCTTCTTACCACTGCAGAACACCAAATCCTCCTTTGTAGGAAGTCACTGAGGTTAACATTAATCCTTAAGGTATCTTCTTTTACATTACAAGTTGTCTTTAAACTGATCTAGGCATAGCACAGGCATGCTAGAAAAACAATTCCAGGTCAACTCAATTATATAATCTGTGGCTCCAGAAGTAGGATTTTACTATTTAATATGGCTTTCCTATTTAATAACCTTTCCATTTTGTTACTTTTTATTCTATTACCTTGTTACTATTAGAAGCAAAAAAGACCTAGAGAACCTAAGAGCAGAATGCTTGCTTCACAATCAGAAAGGCAGGGGGCAAAACATAGTAAGAAGCAACTAGTGACGGCTTTGAAAGAAGCAGATGGGTCAATCCCAGTAATCTCCAAAGAAAGGTGGAGGTGAACAAAGCAGGGTATTGAACCCTGTGTTCTTAGGCGAGGATTTCTCTCCTCAACCCTCTGACCCATGGACTCTTAAGCAGGGGTGTCCAACCTTTTGGCGTCTGTGGGCCACACTAGAAGAAGAGTTGTCTTAGGCCACATATTAAAAACATATACACTAAACTGATGAGCAAAAAAAAAAAAAAGGTTTTAAGTAAATTTACAATTATGTGCTGGGCTGCATTCATAGCCATCCTGAGCCACATGCTGCCCAAGAGCCGTGGGTTGGACACTGGACTGTATGAAGAGCTAAGGGGAATACCGTTCAGCTGCCTAGCAGCTTGGGTTCCCCTATTCTAAGGCTATGAGCACATGATTCTGGTAACAGAACTCCAACCTCACACTCCACCTTTCTAGGTTAGCTGATGTTCCTAGTCAAGTAGGGTCAATTTTTTATTCAAAGTTCTATACTGTAGGGAGCAGTGGAAAATGATTGACCTGCACTGTCTCTGAATCTCTCATCTCATTTTTCCTAGTCTCCTTTATTGTCTTAAGCCATGCTATATTTATTACCTAGTGTCTCTTTTCTTTCCTTTTTTATGAGCTACAGTGAGTGATACCTGACAATATATTAATATCTCAGGACCTTTTATTCTTTATAACTGCATTCTACATAGACACATAAAGAAGGTGCTAACATATTAGTAAAGGTTACAGGACATACCCCAAGGCCATTGGTTATAACGTAACTACATTTGAAGGAACAATTCAAGAGGTCTCTTGTTAATTTCTGTAGCAAAGCTCCACCAGAACCGAAAGAAACATTTTCAATACTCCATTTTTTTTGTTTCATGCCTTCTACAATCTAGAAGATTAAAAAAATAAAACAAATGCTGAATTATTTGGAAGAGAAAAACAACAACAAAAACACTAAGTAATTTGGAAGAAAAAGAAGGTAATTTGGAAGAAAAAGAAGGTAATTTGGAAGAAAAAGATAATATGGGCCCATATGCATCAATAGCCCATACTGATGAATAAACCCATCCTACAGTTGTCTTACAACATAGTAAATAATAAAGTGTATACAAAATTACATCCCACATTTTCTTTTTTAAAAATCCACCTATCCCAAAAAGGGCAACCTGAAAGGGATTTTGTATTGTCGTCATACCTGTGGTTAGGATTAAGGAAGTGAAGGAAATTAGAGGGTAAGAAAAAAATTGGTTATAAGTAGCTAAGTTTACTTGAATACACTTCTCTGCCTTCTGTAGTTGTGGCCCAGATGCCAGCAGCACAAGCAATGAAACCTAGACATTTGTCCCGTATTACTGTAAGTTATCTATCACATGTCATAATACATGTGAAATGTAATGGGGCATTTAAAAAATAAACTGATATTGGTGGTAAAACAATATAAAATATTCTCTCCTACATATCTGTTCAGATGCTGTCAGAGTCATTTTACTCTGGCTGGAACTCCAGTGCCATAAACACAATTATGACTAGACTGGGCATTAACATTTATCATTGGATCATTTTTGGCAGAAATATTATCTACAAGCCAGCTAGAGAGACCTGTATGAACATATAGTTCTGACAACTAGAATAGTTTTTATCAAGGGACACATAATTTAAGTTACACTGATTTATTAAACTACATTATTATTGTCATTCATATTTCTTTTTTCTAAGTAGGACTTATTTACCCTGCATCTGTCTTATGTATCATATCTTGAATCACTTTTAAGGTAGAAGGCCACGCCCTGGCTGGTGTAGCTCAGTTGCCTGAGCACCAACCTATGAGCCAAAGGGTCTCCAGTTTGATTCCCAGTCAGGGCTCATGCCTGGGTTGGGGGCCAGGTCTCCAGTAGGGGGGCTGAGAGAGGCAACCATGCATTGATGTTTCTCTACCTCTCTTTCTCCCTCCCTTCCCCTCTCTAAAAAGAAATTAAGTAAAATCTTTTAAAAAAAGGGCAGAAGGTTTCAAGTGAAATTTAGTAATTGTTCCTTAATTTCATGAGAATAGTAAAAAGGAAGTACTGGAAAGTCTAGTTCCTTTTTATTGAAACAGAATTTTCAGAAATAATTGAAAATCATAAGCAGATTTAATTTTATGCAAATCATTAATATAAATTCACTATATTCTCCTCAAATAGTAAGAGTCTTAACCTGATGTATCTACTATTTTACAACAATGAAAAATAAAAGTATTTTAACAATCCCACATTAAAAAAGGCAAGTTTCTTCCTAAATCCCATCTAATTCTACTATATGTGATGAATCAAGATGAAAACATAAACAATTTAATTTAAAGTGATTCCTTAGGCTATATATATATATATAAACTCAGTCTCATGTCATTATTATTAAACCTGAATTCAAAAGTATTCAAAGGTCCTGGATTCAGATTTATTTTTTATTGATATAACCGTGAACACAGTATAACTAAAACAATAAAAATCTTATAAACAATACAAAATTAAGACGTTTCAAAACAGTGAATTTCAATATGGAAGAAATGTAAAGAATAGAAAACAAATATGGAGGAAAAGAAAGGGAAACAATTGGAGGGTAAGGTGGTGAGGTTAAAACAAACAAACAAACAAACAAAAAACAAACAGAAAATAAGTTTTGGACCTGTCATGATTTTAGATATGCCTCAGAAGCATAAGAATGAGGAAATTACAGAGTAATCACTTAATGTCATATCTATGCACTCCTGGCCTAGTTTCTTAAAGATATTCTTCTAATATAGCTGTACCAAAAGTTATACAATTCAGACAATTTAAAGTTAAAGTTTAAGTGAACTGTTCTGTTAAGAGTACAGGAAATTACAGAATCTGGGAGAAAATTATTACTTAAAAATATTTACACATACCATCAAAAGGAAATCTGATTAGAAATAAATTGACAAAATTTAACTATTAGACACTACTCTTCATTTTCCTATTTATGCCCAGGGTATCTAACTGAAATGAGAAGAACCATATTATGCCATCAGTATTTAAATAAAATGTTCTTGTGCCCCGGTTGGATATATCTCAGTTGTCAGAGAATTGTCCTAAAGACTGTGGGTTCAATCCGCAGTCAGGACACATACAAGAAACACCCAATGAATACGTCAATAAGTGGAATAATAAATTGGTATCTCTGTGTGTGTCTTTCTCCCCTCCATCTCTCTAAAATCAATAAAAAATTTAAAAATATTTTTGTTATCAGATCCATACATCTCAATCATGCACTATGATCTATAATTGTTTTTACAATACATTATATTTAGATAAATTAATGTGTCCCTATTGTTAAGATTTATATAAATCTTCTATTTAGTCTATGGACCAAAGTTGTGAGGGTTAGGGGAAATTTCCTGGAAATGTAAAGAAAAGGGTTCTAGGGAAAAATAGTAGGATAGCTAAAAGGAAAGAAAAGTGTTTAAAATATGTGGGACTTCACTTGCAAAGAAATCTTCTCACCAAAATTTGAGAATTTGATATCATTTTAACGTTGTTAATGAACCACACCAATAGAGAGGTCTCCCCGATAATCAAGATGACTGAATCCCTAACCAAGACACAAACAGAAAGAGAAGACATCTGTATTTTGTCCAACACAAAAGAGATTTTGCTTCTTTTCCTAAATAAGCAGATTGATTTTGGTACACACAAGCTAGGGCTAGCTTATGTCATAAATTTCATGTGGATGTCACAGGGAAGACTGGGAATAAGCAGTCCAAGTAGTGAGGCTGACAGTCAATGAAAGAAGTCAGATGTCTGAAATTAAACAGATTTTTCATTTTGTCAAAATTAAGGCATCCAATTTAGTATATATAAAAAGCAAAAGCACTACATAAATCCTTCCTTCTGCTTCTAAAAACTTATTTTGACCCACTTCCAATATGAAGAAAGCAGGTTTCACTCTTTAGGTAAATCAACATGAGTACATTTGCATTATACAAATTATTCATTCTCTGATCATTCTGTTTAAGGTTTTACCAATGCCAATCACTATTTGTGTGCCTGTCTTAGTATTTGTCTTCTTGTTCATAGTTAAAAAAAAAGAAAAGAAAAAAAGAAAGCCAAGAGTTTCAGTTTCTAAAGGGAAGTTCAAATACCTGATTGAACATTCCAACTTAGGGCCCACCACTGGAACAAGGGAGGGCAGATATAAGTAGAGGGAAGAACTTGGAGCTAATGGTTTTCCTGAAAATGGTACAGTATCCTGCCCATGTTTCTTCATCTGAAAGAAGGATAAAGAGGGTACCTACTAAACTGCCTAAAGTGTAGAAATGGGATGCCAAGATAAGAAACCTTTGATTCAGCTGAGCTAAAAAGACAACAGAAATTACACATGCCCGCTGAGATCTCTAAAATAAGGTCTTCCTCCTCATCACTACAGACTTTTTTTCTATTTCTTCTTTCCCTTTCACAGGAAAGCCCCGAATGTTCCAACCCAAATGTCTTACAGGAGTCTGGGGAATTTCCACTTTTTTTGGGCAAAGCAGTTTGGGAGAGTTGGTGGAAGAAACCTCATTTTGGAACTCTAAATCCATATCACTACAGAAATCCTATTTCTTCTATTCAGTAGTTCTTTCTTTTAAATGACTCTTTGGAAAACACGTTATTTAAAATTTGAGTACTGATCTTACTCTAACCACACTAAATTCTGTCAAACAGAAAAATCTTCGATGACTCATATTATACAAGTGGATACCACTGGGGACTGGTATACATTAAAATGTCAATGGTTTATAAGGGCAGAGAGTTCACATTATGAAATCAGTGATATCCATAACTTTTTGGAGTATATTTTATGAAGTTATAGCTCTTCAGAAGCTTATCTGAGAATAAAAGAGGCAAAAGTTTAACATAATACACTATTTGACTAAATCTAACAATAATAGTGATGACAGTCGAGGCTTAATTTAGAAGAGCTGACCAACCATTTTATAATTTTGAAAACACACATATGAATACATGTGTTTCACATGGTTAGAGTATGTGAAGCTCCACTCCATTAAAACTGAACCTGTATGAGCAGTGTCAAGACTTTTTGTTTTAGCACTGACTAGTGTGGCTCAGCAGATTGAGTGCTAGCCTGTGAACCAAAGGGTCACTGGTTTGATTCCCAGTCAGGGCACATGCCTGGGTTGCAGGCCAGGTCCTTGGTGGGGGTGAGTGAGAGGCAACCACACAATGATGTTTCTCTCCCACCCTTCTGCTCTCTAAAAATAAACTAAAATCTTAAAAAAAAAAAAAGAAAGACTTTTTGTTTTATATACAAGGAACATTCCTTGACTGGCATTGTCTTGTTTGATAGTGATACTTCGTTAGGCTTGTCATCCAGGGTGGCCAGTGAGAACTGGGAATAGCAAATGTGGTTTGGTTGGTACTTCTATACTTTAAGTTACTATTCTTTATAAAATCTAAGCAATTAACAGAAAAGACACACACCCTTATGAAAAGAATAAATTGTGCTGAAATTATGTGTTATTTATCAAACTAATAAAAAAGGAGTTCAATTATGGTTATCTTATTGGAACACTTAATATAAACACATACCTCTTGTAAAGTATTAATATCTACTCCATCCCCTTGAATAACTCGAAGATAAGGTGGTAGCAGCTTGTAGCCCTTTGAGTTCTCAGTAACAGGGAATTTCTTACCCAAAATATCCAAAACCTGTACAGAAAAATACACACCCAACACAAAATAACTAAAAATGAAAAAAAAGTATAAAAGCTTTCCAAAGTTAAAAAAGTGACTTTGATTTACTAGACAATCTTGAGAATATAAAAAACAATTTACTCAAAAAATTTTACCCTATGTGTAAATCTTTCAAAATTTAGTCTGAATTCCTTCTGATTATGTTAGAAACAGGCATTCTATTTCTATCACATCATTTTAACAGTAAAGTGTCTCAAAACAGTATTTTTCCCTACATCTTTTAAATTACATAGATTCATTTAAAAAAAAAATCAAACCCTTTAACATTAGGAGCTTAAGATAGTAAATAAAGGTATAGAAAGCACTACTTAACAAACTCTTGATTATACTTTTGATTTGGATTTATTCTTTTTGTCCCTAATAGTTTTGTTTGGTTTAATTTTGCTAAAACAAATATAAATCGATTTGAATTACAAAGTTCAGAGAACTATGATTTGCAAGACAAAGTTGGAAATGAAGCACATATAACCCAATTTCTCTGAAGTTCTCCTCAATTAAAGATGACACACAATTTTTAAGCTAAACTGCATAATATGCAAAACATACCACTCATTCATTAACTACTAAAAGTTGTGTAGCAGCTGAAATACCCAAACATTGATTTAAAATTTCTCAGAAAGCTTAGAGATTCAAAAGACCTATCAGACAATTTTCCTCCTCAACAACACTCCCTTCTCCTAAATAGACTGATGATTCTAACAATGAGGAAATTCCATATTGATGACTTTCTTCTTCTTCTTCTTCTTCTTCTTCTTTTTTAAGATTTTATTTATTAGCCCTGGCTGGCGTAGCTCAGTGGATTGAGCGCCGGCTGCGAACCAAAGTGTCGCAGGTTTGATTCCCAGTCAGGGTACATGCCTGGGTTGCAGGCCATAACCCCCAGCAACCGCACATTGATGTTTCTCTCTCTCTCTCTATCTCCCTCCCTTCCCTCTCTGAAAATAAATAAATAAAATTAAAAAACAAACAAACAAACAAATACTTTGATAATAAGTATTCAAAATTTATTTTCAATAAATAAATTTTATTTTTTAATAAAATAAAAAACCCAAATACTTTGATAATAAGTATTCAAAATTTATTTTGAATAAATAAATTTTATTTTTTAATAAAATTTTAAAAAAACAAATACTTTGGTAATAAGTATTCAAAATTTATTTTGAATAAATAAATTTTATTTATTTATTTTCAGAGAGGGAAGGGAGGGAGATAGAGAGAGAGAGAGAAACATCAATGTGCGGTTGCTGGGGGTTATGGCCTGCAACCCAGGCATGTACCCTGACTGGGAATCAAACCTGCGACACTTTGGTTCGCAGCCGGCGCTCAATCCACTGAGCTACGCCAACCAGGGCCAGACTTTATTATTCTTAAAACTAAGTCTACATATTTTTTATTAGGTAACAGGAAAAACATGAAAACTGTTAAATTTGCTAAAACTAAATCTGTTAACATTTGAGGCTAAGATAAGACTTTAAGGCTCTGGCTGATGTGGCTCAGTGGCTTGAGTGCTGGCCTGCGACCCAAGAGGTCTCCAGGTTGATTCCAGTCAGGGCAAGTGCCTGGGTTGCCAGCCAGGTCCCCAGTTGGGGGCACATGAGAGGCAACCACACATTGCTGTGTCTCTACCTCTCTCTCTCTCTCCCTCCCTTCCCCTCTGTCTAAAAATAAAATCTTAAAAAAAAGACTTTAAGATTGGCCTATTACATAACAGGATAAGAAAAGACTTCCTTGGTTCTATATTCCCCCTTTTTTAAGTGGTAATTTATCATCCAATCATTAGCTGGGAAACTGGTAAAATGAGAAGGTGACAATGACAATGGATACTTGGCTATTTTACATGTTGTGTGACCTTGAGCAAGTTACTTTAACCTCTTTATCTAAGTCTGTGTCTTGGTCTATAAAAAGAGAATGTAATACTTATCATAGAGAGTAAATGACAGCTTAAGTACAGCACCTAATGCAATATTTTTCTAGTGATGAAGATCAAATAACCTGCTCTAATTTAGTACTTTTCAAAGAAGGCAAACCAAGTCCTGAACACTAAAAATAGACAACACTGCTAAACTGAGGACTGAAGTACCTTTAAAGAATTACTACTTGAGTGGATTGAGCGCGGGCTGTGAACCAAAGTGTCGCAGGTTCGATTCCCAGTAAGGGCACATGCCTGCGTTGCAGGTCACAGGCCCCAGCAACCGCACATTGATGTTTCCCTCTCCCCCTCCCCTCCCCTCCCCTCCCCCCTCTCCCTTCCCTCTCTAAAAATAAATAAATAAAATCTTAAAAAAAAAAGAATCACTACTTGAAGAGTAAGTATTTTCAAAATTTTTTTTTACCACATCACCTTGCACATATTTCTTTTGCACTAAGAATTTGAAAGGTATAGCAATGGCTTGTGATAAAAGAAAAATAAACAAACTATAAACTTGGTTAAGTCACAGGATTCCTTAAAATGGTAATGCTATTTATTAATTTTGAAAGTAAGCAGAAAATATCAGTAGTACTTAACTGTCTATTTGACAGTTTATATAAGTAACCCATAAGTCTGGGTACCCTTTCTGTTATTAACATGTGACCTTGGGCAAATCTATTACCCTCTCCTGGCTGCAACTCTAAAATAAGGTCCAGATAGCTCTGAAATGGCATGTGTATAAATAAAATCAAAAGTAGTGTTGATGCAGCTGGTCGACAGGCATTTTAATAATCAAGTTATGTATTAAAATTTACCTTTAATACAGTGTCAAGAGGATTTCCAGAATCGGGTCTGATTATTAGTGGTGCTTCTGTACTTCTTGATACTATTAAATGTCTTAGATCTTCACCCCATATTTTCTCACACGCATTATAAATATCATAGCTATCGCTGACCACAGATACAGGCACTGATGAAAACTGTGTTACTATATGTTCAAAAGCATCTTTTTCATGGTCTTTCCCCCAAGCTGTTATGGTACTAGAAAACAAAATGAAGATACAGATTTACTTAGGCGGACACATTACTGTTCCTGAATCATATCTCATGTTTACTATACTATACCATCAACACTTCAGAGAAAGTGAGTGATTTAGTTTAAAGAATGCACAGCAGGTTAGTCAAATAGTTGGACTAAACCACCCTTTGAATAATTTTTTTAAAGTTAATATTTATAACTTAATATTTTTCCTTTCCAATAGTTAGTTTAGCTACTAAGTCGTATTCAACTTTTTTGGGGGGTACTCCTGAACCTACTCATTTGAACTCAGTGAATTAAAAAGCACTTACTGAATGCACTCAATTCATTATACCCAGATGTTAGAAAAAATGAACACATGCTCCCATTATTTGCTAGGCAATGTAAAGCACTTAGCTCCCTCCTGTGAATTTTCAAAACCATATTCCAATAATAGCAGACATGTATTTGATCTTTTTTATCTTTCAAAATCTAAAATTTAAAGGCAACTATTTAACCTATATACAGATCCATATAGTTAACTAAATCTTTACCTATTATATCTTCTAATGGTAAGTCATTTATTTCATTTATAGATTATATACTAATTAATATATGCCCATGGAATAAGAATGTTAATATTTAGTTTGTACAAAACATAATTTAGATGGGAAATAAAGTGTGAGAGTTTCTATGAAGCAAGAATTGTTACAGTGATTTTTATAATGTCCTCAATAATGGTTCTTCTTATTGAACAGATTAATAATATGTAACTTAAGTACTTGTGGGCTTACTAATACAGAAGTAGGAAAAATAAGTTAATAATAATATAATAAAAAATAATAAAAGAATAAAGTGTTTTGCATACTCACAACTGTCAACCTACTTATGCCTACCCATGTATACAATCTTTTTATTATATACAAAATAATAAATTTGAAGATTGCCATTTCTTCATGCCAAGTAATTTTTCTTTATTCCCCAATTTTCTAGTCTTTGCCTTTACCTCATTTTCGTAAGCAATGAAAAGACAACCCATTCATTTACTGTAGAACACTATGCAGATTAAGTTTATCTCAAATAGTTTGAAGAGTCATACTAATTTATGTTTCAAACTGTTATTTCATTTCTACTTTTTTTCTGAAGGACTAGAGTAAACAACATTTTCCATGCTGCCAATGGTATGCTGGGCATAGCAGAGCATGTACCATTCAGGTTTATTTACCTAGAGACACTACTCTTGTCTGAAATGGAGAAATGGCCTATTTATACAGTGAACACTCTTCTAAACAACTAGAGGCTGCCAGTAACTACGTTGGCATCATAGGCATTACGCAAACATCTACAGGCTAAGGGGAAATTAAGACATGATGAAGAGAAGCCCTTTCTTCATATTAAGAATTGCTACTGTTGCCCTGGCCAGGTGGCTCAGTTGGTCAGAGTATTGTCTGGTACATCAAAAGGTTGTCGGTTCGATCCCTAGTTGGGGGGCATACAGGAGGCAACCAATTGATGCTTCTCTCTCACAGTGATGTGTGTGTGTCCCCCTCTCTAAAATCAATAAAAAATATATTCTAATGTGAGGATTAAAAAAACAAAGAATTGCTACTGTCCTCTTTATCAGGGACACAATCTAGACTTGCAATACTGCAGAGCTTTGTAACTGATTAAAAAATATCCTACAGTTAGAAGTTATTGCTTATGCAGTTATGTTTTACTAGCATTGTATCAATAGTCATCTAACTCAGCTATTTGTGTTTATCATGTCTAGCAAATTTAACTGTTCATTTTCAGCCTTTATTTTATGTTTTCTCTGTGGCATTTCAACTTTCCTGAAGCTTTCTCTCCAATGACTTCAATAACACCTCCTACGTTTTGATTTTTTCCTACTTCTACAGCTCCTTTTCAGTCTCCAACAGATCTTATGCTCTCTCCTTTCTTCATTCTGACCAAAGGTTCTGATCTGGGCACTTGTCTCCCTTTATACACCTCTGTGAATGGAAAAACACTATACGCTTTTAAAAATACTGTGTGATGAGGGTTTCCAAAATGTGTACTCTAGCACAGGTTTTGCTTCTGTACTTCAGATGTACTTTGTTAGGTAGGAAGATGAGTATCTTCATCTCATTATCCCAGTCATTTCCTAAAGCACCCTGCACATAATCCAAATGTTTTATCTATTCTTCTAGTATAGTATTTGGTCTATGAAGATCATAAATATTTACTCAATGAACTCTACTTATGCTAATATTCCAGTGTGCGGTACATAATTAGATACCTTTCCCAAGTTTGAGGGAAAAGTTATGCAACTGAATATTTCTAAACCCAGATTAACATATTTCTTAAGAAAATATCTATAATAATGGCAGTGCTATAAATTTTAGAGTTCACTTATTTAAAAGTTATTTTAGATATCAGCTCATTTATGCCAGCTGATGTTAAAGATGTAAAATTTTTGCTCCTCCTTTTGTTTGGCTGGATGGAGGAACTGAAAAACAGAGAGATAAGTGATTTGCCCAAGGCCACCCATATGTCAGCTGTGAAGTTCTATTCACTATACTGTTGTTTAAAAGACTTTTATATTTAAGGTCATTTGAAATACTCTTAATTTATATTAAGGAGTTGAACACTTACAAATGTAGTAAATACTATGTGACTGTATAAGTAAAATGGATTTTCACCATGTTAAGATGAAAGCCCTAAAGATGACACTGACACTATCTTTTTATTCTCAGATTTATAGTACTATACACATGTTATTACTATGAAATAAAACCATTAGTCAAGCGTCTAATACACAGATACTATAGTAAGTGTTAAAAAAGTATATACATCTAAGTCTGAAATAAAAATACTGTTAACACTAAAACCATTATCTGTTCATAAATTTTCCCAGTTTCACTAGTCTTAAATGTGGCATTCAATAAGGCCCTAATATGGCAATTCTCATAAATGTTAGCTGAATCTACTCTCTACTGAGTCCTAATTCAAATCATCAAGTTCAAGGAACTTCATCCCCTAAGCCAGTGCTCATGTTTATCTGCTTCTTTTCATTCATTTTGGCCAGTTGGTTTTGAACCTTGTCACCTCTCATAACTGCTGCAATAGATTCCTATAAGGCCTCCTACCTTCTCGTTTCTCTTTTCCAATTCAGAAGAGACCCTACTATCAAAATAACGTTCCTAAAATATTTCTCTAACATCACTTCTTTGCTCAAACATTTCAATGCTCACTTCCATTTGAAAATGGAATTAGAATAACCTAGCATAAATTTGAGTCTTCACTAACCTGTCTTCCCAGTTTACCTTATGTTCCCTACAGTCTTTATGTGTTATCCCTGATTCCCTAAACACATTCAGTCTCCTCTTTCTTTCTGGCTCTTTCAGGACAATGTGTGATGCATGGTAGGCATGCAGTAAATTCTCATTTAGAGAATGCGTCATCCCCGTGACTGCCATTAGATTTTACCATTCCTTCACTAAGTCGATTTCACATCCTACCTCCATAAATCCTTTCTTGATTCTGTCATTGGAATGCAATCCTTCCTTCCTTTCCTTCCCTTGCACCACTAGAGCGCTTTAATTGTACTCCCTTAAAAGTACTTTATCAACAAAGAAGAACATCACTACTGTACTATTTTATCCTGAAGAGAGTCAAATTTCTATCCCTTGTAGTGCTCAATAGATTAACTTGAATAAATGCTTAGCTTTTGCATCATATAAAACAGGTGCTTAATAAATATAAATTACTTTTTATAAAAAGCTCAAGCTTTATTCTAAGCTCACTACTGGTTTTGGCACCCTGCAATATTCTACTGTAAGTAAGACTTAATAAACCTCCCAGAGAGTAAATAAATTTTGTTACAAGAACCAGAAACAAAGTTTGACATGATTGTTTTAGCTTTTAATTTTTTTTCTATTACCATTTATTCCACCACACCCACTTCTACTCCCCACCCCCATCCCAGCATATCTTTTCAAAACAAATTAACTCTAGGATCAGACCAGCTGCTGCTTAGATTACAACTGCCTCCTAGTTCACCTTGAGATAATTTAGTGAGATTAGATAAGGAAGCAAAAGGAGAATCTGAACTTTCTTCTTTTCATTGAAAGGGTTTACTTGCTCATCTACAATTCAGGGTACTGAGTCCAGATGACAATTCCGAAGGCAAAGACAGGTGAGGTCATGTAGAAGAGCAGGGAAAGGGAAAAAAGTGATTAGGTGTGAGTGGTTCTAGACTTAATTTAACAGATACAATATATCTGCACATGGCCATAGAGCAGCTGAAAAAGTCCTTTAAAGAAAAACCTATAAGGGCAATATACCAGTTAAAAAGAAAAGCTTTTAAACTGTTTCCATTAGATAGTTACAAGTTCTCTACCTCCCAGATACTAATCTTTACACAAAGTATAAGTAATAAATTTGTATTGCTTAAGGTCATGAAGAATTACTAGAGAACACAGCTCTATATTTAAGCAAAATTATAACTGAATTACAAATAAACAAAGGAAAAAACTTATTAATTATAAAAAACAAATATTTAGATGGCAAGAGAATGAAAACAGAATTTTACCTGTGTTCTGCTGCGGGAACAGAGTAGCCTGGAACAGGATCTTTTGTTCCATAGTATTTTTTAATTAAAGCAATTCCTGCTACTGTATCTGTTCCTTTGAAGTTAACCAAATGAGCAGACGCTCCTATGCCAGCAGTCTGGAAAATAAACCCAAAACCAAATCCAAAAGAAGAAAAAAAAAAAAAAAGACCCATACTTGGGTATAGACCATATAGCTCCCAAAGAATTACTGTCTTCTGCTATTCTTAGAGAGATATTTAACTATTATCAGAGAAAACAGTTCCTATGACAAAGATCCAGTTTTCTTACGTATTTAAGAATTCAACTGTTACCTCCTCAAAGAGAATGGTTTAACAGAGACCCACTCCCATTTCCCATCACCCTCTTTTCCCTTACTCTGCCTAATGCTTCTCTGTAGCATTATCTGACATCTGCCATATTATGTTTGTCTGTCAGTCTATCTACCCACTCATCTGATATATAAAGGATAGAAACATTTGTTGAAGACTATATTCCATGAACTTTAAACAGAGGCTAACACACAGTAGGTACTTTATCTGTTCACTAAATTTCTAGAATTTCAAAATGTGGCCTATGCAGACCAACATCAATCCCATAACTTCCCAGGAAGTTTATAATTGTAACCTACTGACAATCTACATTTTATTCAATGAGGTTTTCTTCAGTTCCTTACCTCTTGGGAAGAGACTCCTCTGTAGCCAAAATCATGCAACTTGTATTCCAGACCATCTAAGTTACCAGATGTTTCTAACAAATATTTGGCCAGTATTTTCTTCTGCTCTCTAGAATTTGTGGCCACAGTGATTGGATACCAGGACTGAACAAGAATGGTCTGTAGTAATAAAATTAACCACAAATATTAATACATAAAATACTGGGTTCTTTCTGAGGAGAATCCTAGCTTTCCCTGGAGATATGTTCTGAACTTCCACACTACTGGAAACACCATTTAGACATTTCAACTGTACAACAGGATATCATCGCATGCATTCCAGATACAGTGCATAGCTTGGCTCTCAAATCAGCAACATAAAGGAAAAGCACGCCAGGTCCTTAATAGTTGAGAACATCACATTTCTATCCAAATCTCCAAAGATGGAAATAATAGTTGGAAAGACTATCTGTGATGCAGGACTAACTTTTGAAAGTATCTTCACTCTGTCATGGACTAATAGTTTTTTTTAAATACATACACACTTGGATGGTGAGGCAACTACCATAAAAGTTTCTAAATGCTTATTCTTGATTTCTGTGTTTAATGTGAAGCTGTATCAAATAGTTCATGGACCAGCACTGGTCCATGGTCTACACCTTGAACAGTATAGTATGGGTCTAAAGTTATCCTTTTACTCCTCTAGATAGACTTGGATCTAATACGACTATTGGTAGGTTATATACTTGAATGCTTTTGCTTAGCACTAGAGAATTCTATCCACTGAGTTATGCTTTATGTCCATAGTTTTTATCAAAAGTCACTTTAAGAAGGCAGCATGAAACATTTCTGCATATGTTATAAAACTGCAAGGCCACTGTTTATATTATACTTAGTACCTATTATGTAAGTTCTCAAATGAGGACAACATGAAAGAATCACTAAGTTCCTTCTTTCTGATAAGAACTGTACCTTGGTTTTCTATTTCACCTTTGCTGTCAGGAAACCCAAAGTAAGTCTGATGCTTAATCATGGCAAATATATTAATTATTATGGCTTGGGAATTCATACCTTCTCCATAATAGGACCATAATTTTCTATATTTATTTTATAAACCAGATAGTCTATTATTAGAAGTGGTCTCAAATTTATTTCAGAAAGACCTAAGATAACAACGTTTGACTGCAATCAATAATCTATTTAATGTACCAATTAGGTTTTACAAAACTAGTTTTTACTGAATACCAATTAAGTGATCAATAAATAAAATAAGTAAAAACAAAAGATTATTTAACCTTGGATTTTCCGACTCGATCACCTAAAAAGAAAAAACATAAACTGTAGCATTAGACTCCTATGATGACTGATTAAATATGGCCCCAAATCTTTGCAGCTCTTCTCATCAAAAGATGGAACCTATTTCTTCATCCCTTGATTCTGGGCTGTACTTATGATTTGCTTTTAACCAACAGAATGTGGCAGAAGTCATCTTGTATGACTTTCAAAGCTACTGTTTCAAAAGGTTTTGCAGGTCTCAGTCTCCTGGATCCTTGAGACTACAATGCTGTGAAGAAGCTAAGTTACTGAGAGAGGCCCAACAGTTCCTGCTGTCTCAGAGAGGCCCCAGACATGGAGGGAGGCCATTCTAGACTGCCCTGTCCTAGCTGGATCCTCAGCTGCATGCAGACACCAAAGTCCAAGCAAGAGCAGCAGAGAAGCATCTAGTCAACACAGAATCATGAGAAATAACAGCTATTTTATTTTGGGATCATTTGTTAAATAACAACAGAAAACTAAAGCAACTACTAACTTAAACTCTATAACCAATTACCTTCAATCTCTAACCATTCTGAAATTACTCTTCTGATTCCACTGTCATTGCCCATGATTACCTACCTCTAATCTTTGACTTCCTCTTCACTTCCTTTAGGATGATAACCACTGATTATCATCCTAAAGAGAATGTTTTATTCAGGTCCTGCTATTCCTTAAAATCATTTAATGACTATTATCCATAGAGGAAAAAGTCAATTCATACAGAAATTCGAGGCTCCCTATAATCTTGTCTTGTTTACCATCTAGAGGTTGATTTCCTACTATATCTCCCACTTTAATGCTGCAGTTCCCTTTGGGCTATTTGCTACTCTAAAAATGGTTTTTAAAAATATTCTAAGAATATTGCTCAGCTATTCCTCTTCTTTATTAAAATTTATTTACTGGGTTGGCCAACAAGTTCATTTGTTTTTTGCTGGCTGCAGTTGTGCTTAGTTGTCTTTAACTTCGTTCAAAACAATTTTGTTAGATTGTCTTGTGAAAGCTGTCGTATCAGCATTAAAAAATATCTTATCAAAATGGGTGAATTTTTGTGTAGGCATTTTAAAAACTGAAAATGAAAGAAAATATACAACACTGTCAGTATACTATACTTTATTATTTCAAGAAAGGTATAAATGCAACTGAAATGCAAAAAGATTTGTGTAGTGTATGCACAAGGTGCTGTGATCAATCAAACATGTCAAAAATGGTTTGCACAGTTTGTTGGTACTACTGACATATTGGTCAAATACTTTTTTCCTGTGGGGTTGTCTTATGCATTGGAAGATGTTTAGCAGTACCCTTGGCCTCTACACATTAGAAGCCAGACAGTGGGAGTTAGCTGACATACTCAAAATATCTAAATCAATAAAGTTATTGGTGAAAATGAAAAATGTGTCTTTTATTTTATGGAAAAAAATGTAACAGACCAATATGTTTTCCAGTTCAGATTCCTTAGAATTACTTATTTTTCCTCTACCAATTTATCATTCTTACTTATGTTAGTGGTTAGTTAAGAGTAAATTGCTGCCTGGCTGGCGTAGCTCAGTGGATTGAGTGTGAGCTGCGAACCAAAGTGTCGCAGGTTCAATTCCCAGTCAGGGTACATGCCTGGGTTGCAGGCCATGACCCCCAGCAACCCCACATTGATGTTTTTCTCCCTCTCTCTCTCTCTCTCTCTCTCTCCCCCCCCCCTTCCTTCTCTAAAAATAAATAAAATTAAAAAAAAAATAAATTGCTCCTCCCCCAAAGACCCTTAAATAAGACATATCTTGTCCTAATTTCTGTGTCCAGAACTTTTTTGTTCATAGCTAGTACTCAATCAATGTTCACTTGTTGAATTTAATTCAATGAACTCACACTTTAACTTACACTGACATTATCTAGGAGTATGAAAAAGATAAAACATAACGTGAACAACTCTAGTTGAGTTAAAAGGTAGAAGATTGACCTTACCCCTCGAAAAATGCCAGGGAAGGAAGGAAATAACTATCAGACACAGTGATCCTTCACATCACCATTTCCTTTTCATAGTCCAACAAAATCAGCTTAAATTATACTCTTAACAAAATCAGTCCCCTTTAAAAAAGATCACTGTAGGTGTAAGCAAGGGAAAAAAAAGGCAAGTTAGTTTGGGTTAATCCAAGGTCTAATGAAAGTAGGCCTTGTTGGAAACTTTTCCAAAATAGCAATTTGCCCACACAAATCAAGATTAAATTTTTAGCTAAAAACTAAGACTAAAGTAAATAAACCTGCAAAATTCATTTAGGATGTGTTTATTATAATGTTACTGTTGCAGGATGAAGAATGTTATGAAAGAATAAAAAATGGTGTGGTATAGCAGAAAGGGGACTGGGCCTACTCTGTTAACTACAGTCCATTCACTCAGGACTCAATTTCCCCATCTGTAAAATGAGGGCATTTGATTAATGTAATGGTTTTTAAAGTCATCTTTTCTTTTTAACAGTGCAAGGTTTTGTTTTATGGTTGGAATAGATGGGTAAGTTTAGCCTAATATGCTTGGCCCCTTGTAAGTCTGAGACACTACTGCAGAACCCTTAGGATCTCTTAAAAATGTTTTGAGATTTGATGTGCAAACTAAAATTTCTTCTAGCACTAGTAATGAAAGAATGGTATTAAAGAATGGCATTAATTAATTAATTCATTAAAGAATGGTATTACTAACTTGGAATATAAAATGGGAGAGAGAATTGGAAGGAGCACTATTGAGTATTATTATTTAAAATATTTTAAATCAAGAATTGCCTAAAGAAAATCTTCAAGTTTGTAAATAATAAGTTTATTGAATTTGGTAACAGATTTCATATTATAAGGCAGTAAACTTGGATTGGGGATGAGTAGAGTAGGATGAATCTCCTTTAACCCCACATAAAAACTCACAAAGCCTCTTTTAGAGACCTGGTATTGAATGTAAACACACTATTTTATAAAACATGGATCGATCAGAAACAACAATAAGGGAATGTTTTTACAATACCATCCCTTTAAAATCAAATATTTGCCAGCACAAATACAGTAACAACTACACAAAAACTAATAATAAAATACATTTTCTTTTACTTTGAGTTCATAGTTAATTCAAAGTTTTAAGACAGCAGTGAATTATTCAAAATCTGCATTTTGGTTAATTGTAAATTTTTTCTGAGCCCATTAGCCTATTATTAGTTGATGGCCCATTAAGAATCTGATATGAAAGTTTTAAATTTCTTGTCAACTTAGCAAAAAAGGAGTTTCAAACATATTTTTGGACCTCTTACTTCTTCTAAATCTTTTCAAGTTTTAAAATAAACCTCAAATGTATTATTTTACAACATAACAAATTAGTGTAAACAATAAACTAGTAAGAGTCAGTTGCATGTACTAAATAAATACCTCTCAAAGAGAAATGTGGTATTTCTACAGTCACCTTCCAAAATATTTTCTTTTATAGAGAAAATGTAAGTTAAGCTGGTATTGCTTCTTGGCCTTTTGGCTAAGATCAAGTGTGAATTAAGCTGTTGAGGAGCTAAGTAGATATTTAATATCAAAACTATAAGCATGTGAAAAAACACGATTGCCTGGGTGTAGATACAAGGTAAAACAAACAAAAAGTCTTGTAATATAAACTTTTATAATACAACCTCCTTTTATCTGTAGAAATTAAACAAAATAACCAGTCAATCTTAAAATGTATTTAGATGAGAAATATCAGGAAGTAGAGCCTAGGCCTTAACTCATTAGGTAAGAATAAAGAAAGCAATTATTAAAAATTTGAACAGAATTCCTTTAGTCTAACTGCAACAGAATATCCAAAAGATGTCTCAAGTTACTAAAAATGTACCTATGCTGTTTTTCTAATTTTTCTCCATGATAATACACATTTAAGAGTGCGACAAATAAGATGGAAGCCAACTGAGTTTTAACAGTAATAATTCTTAATACTTTGATTTAGATAAAATCTCAGAACATTACATTTCACTGGAAGGAACCTTAAAGATTTTTTCATCCAACTGTCATTTTATAGATGAGGAAATTGAGGATTGGAAAGGTTTATTAAATTGTGGAAGATATATCACTTTATTAATAGCATTTTTAAGACTAGAATCCCAGTTGAATGGTTTTTGCAACTTCAATTAATGTTAAATAAAAAATAAAAACAAAACAATTCACCTCAATCCAATTTGTAAGCCAATAACACTCTGGATCTGTGTTTTCCACTGTGAAGAGAACATTTCCTCTGGGAATGACAGAGCCCTCAGGAACAGCTTTTACTTCTATTGGAAGATGCCCATCATATTTCTGGTAAGAGACAATAATGAATTTATTTCATTCAACAGATGATGTTCATTACCTGTTTTTGTGACTCTTTACATTTTACAGAGGCTAAACTTACTGTGATAGAAATGACAATTGTGGATGTTATTATAATGTTAGTAATAGAATATCCTCATCCTCCTGAAATAAAATTAGCTAAAATAGCTTAAGCAATGATATCAATTTTTAAATTTCATGCTGTCAAAGTGCTTTTGCTATGAACATTTATCATTAGAAGATACAGATAATTTCAAACTGATTATAAAAGTCTTTCAAAAAAAAAAGAGAAGAGTTTATTTCAACATATTCCAAAAACAGTATGTTTATTCTTAAACCATTTTCATAAAAGAAAGGTTAAAGACTGAAAGATAAAACAAAGAAACAAATAAGGGGGGGGGAGGAGGTATCTCTGCCAGTAGAAGAATCTTAAATAGGTTTTCTTTTTGCTCTTGGTGTAGACCTGAAACTATTTTGATAGTATACTTCCTAGAGCTCTGACAACCAATATAAAAAACAATTAATTCTCTCCAAAATTAGGCTGAGAATACATTTGCTACATGGTATGTTACTAGATATTTAACTATACCTTCCTACTTTTAAAGCTAAAAGTTGTGGCTAACTTTTGGCTAGGAAGGCAAGTTGTTTCAGATTTCTTAATAGTTTATGTGATTTGGGACAAGGCAACTAGATACAAGAAAAATCTGTTTAATGAGAAGCACTGAAGGTCTCGAGAGTGGAAAAAATACTCACTTAGAAGTCCTGGCTTGAACTCAAAAGCAGGTAGGAGACCTTTGGCAAGTCATTTAACATTTCTAGGTCTCAGACTCTACTTGTAAAATGGGGTTAGACAAGATTATATCTAGAGAACCTGTGAAAGCTAAGATTCTCTCAATATAAAATCAAAAGATTTATCATCTGGCCATTGGAAATTATATCAATAAGCATAGCACCTAACTTATCTATTACTATTACCCTCACAAAAAACCAAATGGAGTAAGTGCAGGAGTTACCCAACAGATTTCACTTCAGATGTGAGGAAACTACAGTTACAGAATGCTTACTGGACTTCTTCAAAGACCCATAAGACCATGAGTCCCAAAAGGTAAAATGCATTATTACCAGATAGGTATGACAGTTTTTAATTACTTTATGTTTAATAGTTTACAATGGAAAAGATATTTGTTTTTGAAGTGTAAATTAATTAGCAAATACTTAAGATGACAAGATGCCAATAGATCCCACTCCCAATCTATTTTGGTAATAAAGAAAACCATCAAAGGACATTCAACTCTTGTAACTTAATTCTGATGTGTTTGGATACCCCAAAATTTAAGCAAATGGTTCTAAACATGCTAGATGTGAACATTACAGTACAACAAAGAATAAAAATCAACCTCCTGGATCTGTACCAAATCATTCTAACTACTCAGTAAGGGAAATCTCCTAGAATTACTGTGTAGTGATAGACCCATAGCATCTATTTTCTTAGATAACCTATAGTTAAGAAAACACACTTAAATTCTGAAATTGCCAAATAACCATGCCCTTTCTTAATTATAGTGTATTTTCAAAGAAAGGGTTAAATCACCTCTCTTAAAAAAATGCTAGTTAATTAAATCATAATTCATGTATGTTATAACAAATTTGACCTATTGTAGATTCTAGACACTAATAATTTGCCACCAGAAAAAACATTTAAACGCTACCCTTAACTTTTCACAAGAATGTTTAAATAGCCATCATACTTAGGGTCGCAGATGGAAAAGAGTTGCAATTGTAGTCTTAATTTTCTATTCAAATTCCTTTGCAAGAAATTTTGAAGTAAATGTGAAACCTAAATAGTAGACCAAAATATGAAACTAGTTTTTACCTCAAGAATATAGTTCCATCCCTTTTCATTAAAGACATCATCTTGAAAATGCTCTTTGTATACCTCTTTGGCTTCCTGGATCTTCTCTTTGGTCACTACTTTACCTAAAAGCAAATACATCTTCTGTTTACATTTTGAAAGGCATTCTGTGAACTGCTGAGTTGTCACAGGATTAATGTCTCTAGATATTACACCCATATTATGGATAAAAAACAAGATCTGAGAGGTTAAATAACTCACCCAAAATCAACAGCAAAGCCAGAAAATGATTTTGGACTTGTAATAACTCAGTCTAAGTATGATAATTTCTTATTTGAACAGTAAATGTGCAGAAGAAACAATAACATGGATAGTATTTTTTTAAACTCACAGTAAATTAACTTCTAAGAAGGTATCTTTTCTGCCTCTACTTAATTTCTACGCCTCTACTAATTTCTTCAAATCTGAGAGAGTAAGCCTTTGATACAGATTATTTGCCAAGTGAAACCTCTCACTTTATTCATAAAAGGTATCTTCAGGGCCGATAATCCAACAATCTTCACAATTATTATATTTTTGCACCTCAAATATAACTTTAGTTCATTTTCTTTATCTGTAAAATGAGGATAAAACAGGAGAGTACCTACGTATGAGTGGTTGTGAGGACTAAATGAGTTATAACACATGAAGCATTTAGAATAATGCTGGCCTGTAATAAGTAACCAATATGCTTTAGCTGTAATTAATAACTAGTATCTTATGAGGTTTTTGAGTTGCAGAAATGAAGTGTGACATAGTCTTTGGTAACTTTCTCAATCTAAGATCACTAGTCAACTCATTTCAAATACCTTGGGCTATCTTGCTCACAAAGTATTTTTGACACCAAGTAGGTTTCTAGTAGTGTAACACATCTGAACTGTCTAATCTTAAAGTTGCCAAGATTATGGGAAAAGGTTATTATATAAAATTCAACTTAATCTGCATTTAATTCTAAGAGTATTTTTATATGAAAAGGTTGGAGATGAAAATTTCCAAAATATAGAAATAAAACTCTTGGAAACTGTTTCATCTCCTAGAAATAACACTACAAAACAGAGTAGAAATGGGCTTTCAATTTTTGTAAAAAGGCAAAGAAATTATTTTGGGGATTTTTCTCCTTTAATATGCATTTGAGACTAAGTTCATAGTTAGAAATAGTTTTGAAAAATAGGCCTTTAAGGTAAAACTGACTAGCATAAAAATATTCCAATTACAATTGCTACCATAATTCAAAATGAGTTCCCAGGTTCAATAACAAATCCTTCATTTTGAATCAATGACTAAAGTCTACTAATAAACCAGGTTAGCCTTGGAAAATTAGTGACTTTTCTAAACTTATTCCCAAACTTAGTTTCAGAAAATCTTTCTCATATTGAGAACACTAAGCACCTATACAAAATTATAAGACTGAATGTATTCAAGATTTTTAAAAAATTCCAGAACTCCTATAAAGTAGTTAAATTAATTAAATAGATAATTAGACTATTCGAAAAGTTACTTCAGATAACAGAATAAAACAACATAGGAGAAAAATTATGAAGAGTTATATAGAAGAAATGTTTTAAATGTACGAGGACAAATAATACCTTTTAAATACTTATTAAGAATGTACTGCAACCCATAAAATACTGTTTCCTCATATTTCACCTTCCTTATTTTGGAGTTTTCAGTCTTCTTTTCACGGCATTCAAAGTAAGAATAAACTTTGCTTGTATTGGGAGGGTATTGTTTATAGTGAGTAACCTGTATGAACGAGAAATACTTGAGTTAGAAAGCACCAGAAGAACAGACCATAAATCACAATAACAAGGGCTTGAAATTATTTAAAACCAGAGAAACACACTTATTTAAAATTGATCAACTTGTTTTCCTGGATATAAAATATAAAACACATACTTATTGAGATACTTTTAATAGTTTAGTATCTTAAATTCAAAACCACAGGATACCATTAAATTTTATAAAGAAGCAGACTGAACTTTAAGTACAAGGCCTCTAAGCTGCATACCTGGAACAAAAGTATGACGACAGGTATCTTATTTGATCTTGGGGAATAGTCTTCACTCAAGGGAAGAGAGATGCAGCTGCAGGGGGTCGGGGGTGGGGACACAGCTGAACTGAAAGCAGGATTTGGTACTGTTGCTACCTAAATGTGGTTAAGTTTGAGAAGTCAGTCAGTGACTTCCCAGGACTCTGCTTGTTTATTTGTATAATGAGGTAGTGAGAATTATCTTTTGTAGTCTTCATAGCAACACTGAAAACCTAAATAAAAGCAAAAGAAGAAACAGCAGCAAAACAAAAAAATTCTTTGTAATCTTTTCTTTTGCTGAAATTACCTCTGAGTTGGGAAATAAATGTCTATACAATGAAATGTCAAATCCTTATAGGTTTAAAAATATGAAGAGGTATCATCACAAATTTCTTTTCCATGGATTTGGTTAAGAGTCACTGTTGAAAATTTATCTGTTTTTGTTTTAAGAAAAATAAAGTGAGTGCTTATTATAATTTTATCATATTTTATTGTGGTTAAAACAATTTACCAATAAAAAATAACTGGAAGAATAATGTATATTTATTTGTCCAGTTGAAAGAGTACGCATAATGCCTTAATTGCCTTAATTGGGTGGTGAATCAGGGTAATGGTGGAATAAATCTTGGCAGACCAAATTTCCTGGACAACCACTGTGAACATTAACCATTTTTCCTGTTTAGCTCTGATTGCAAGTTTAGGAAAAACAACGCTTTCCTTGTTTGGATGTACAACTTAGTTTTAATCTAAAGACTCTTTGTAGCTTAGCACAAAAAGTAAAACTTAATTAGTAAAACTTAATTTTAATCTAAAGAATCATTGCAGCTTGGCACAACAATTCTAAAACAAATATACTCTGTATAGAGAGCAAAAAAAAAAAATCACACGTATTTAAAATGTTTCCTCTCCAATAGAAGCAATTTGCAACTCCATAAAAATAGCACCGTCAAGTTGCTTATTAGGCAATCTTGGAGGTGAATCTTTATATTAATATGTGGTCTGATTGCCTGAGTCAGGCAACAGAGTTAGAACTTTCTGTTTTTCTCAGATACAACAGGTACCTATGTACTATAAGGAATAGGGAAGCCTCATCAAAACCTAGAAGCATTTGCCAGTTTCTTTCAGGTCAGAACCCAGAGACTGATAACAACTGTAAATCTAGAGCAATTAAATCTATTAGGCAATTAACTAAAGTGCAAACACATACATATATCATATATATGATACCCTAGTAACAAATGATTACCATTTCAATTACCTAAGAAATTGGTTGAAAAAGATACCAGTACCTAAAACAATGTACCCAAGACATACCCAAAATGCAAATGTATGCAAAAATGAAAATGTCCAGTTTACAATCTAAATATCTCCAACTACTTTAATGGGAATAAGCAGTGAAATAAAAGACAAAAGCCAATTATGATGAAGCAAAATTTGAATAAGGGTCTGGATCACATCACAAAAGTTTGTAAAAGATTCACCATTGTGATTGTCAATAGTTTTGACCTTCTCTATTGTTCAGATACTAAATGATACATTTTTATAAATTACTTCTTCTATATCAGATCAAAATGTAAACGCATTATTTTCATCTTCTGAGTAGACCAAGCAGTCAAAATCTAAATGGAAATGTCCTAAACCACATAACTCTATCTTGGTATAGCAATATAGTAAAACTCTTCATCTTACAAGTTCTGGACAACAATTAAATATATTATAATTTTAATGCTTCATTTTAGCTGTATTCTTTAATTACGGCACTTAAAACTTGTGCATAAATATTCAGAATGCTTTCTCTGGAAAAAACTGTCTAGGCTGCTAAATTAGAAATGAAGTATGACTTCTAAAATCTTCTTTGGGAAAATTAAAGAGAATAGTTTTAGAATTTAACTAAAGAATCTAAGTTACAGGTGGCAAATACAAGGACCATTGGCTGAATCTGGCCCTCCACCTTGTTTTATCTGGCCTGGCACTGTGTTTCTACTCAGTGGTAGCATTGAGCTCCTTGCCCCTAGTTAAGGAGTAGTCACATTTATATAGTCCTAAAATTACACTCGGCCCTTTGAAGGCAACCTCAAGGCTTCTATGGCCCTCAGTGAAAATTAGTTTGACACCCCTGCTCTAAGTCATCTAGGTAAACGGTCAGGCAATAAACCATGAAACATAATTTACTACTAACCACCTACCAATACCCAATAGTTTTATAAAATAAGAGTATGCTCATATCTACTTATACTGGCATATAACATTATTTTATGGGAAAACATTTTGTACAGAGCATTTTAGTAAATATTATTCTAAAAATACAGCCAACAGATGATTTATAGTAATTTTAGTTTTGCTATTTTTTTTGTCCTCTTCATTTCACTTTCTGAACCCCTCTTAACCATCAAAAACTGAGATGATATAACAGAAATTGAAATCAATAGATTCTTATTTTATAAATAGTTCATTCATTCACAGATATACAGGGTGGGGTTTACAGTTGTCTGTTCACATGGAAAATAACACAATTATTAACGTAATACACGAATAAACTGTTCCATGTACTGACAACTGTAAACCTACTTTTGCCCTACACTTTATAAGCTGTACTTACTATGTATCAGGAACTGTTTTAGATGCTGATGACAGGGAAATGCATAGCTCTATTCTCATAGGGCTAATGAAGATTAGAAAGTCAAAAAACAATAAATAAATGAATGAAATAATTTCTGATCTATATGGATACTATGTAAAATTAAAAGAAAATGATGGGCTAGGGGGACCGGGAAGACTACTTTAAATAGGACAGAAAGGCTTCTGAGATGGTGATATGTGAGCAAGACTTAAATGACAAGGAGGAAAGAAAGAACTTGATCCAAAGGACAGAAAAGAATGAAGGTCAGAGTGGTTGGTGCTTAGGGAATGGGGAGGAGGAGGTACAGGGCACAAGTCAGAGAGCTACAGAGACAACATCAGGTAAGGCTTACAGGCTACAATAAGTAGCTTGAATTTTTATCAAGTGCAATGGGAAGCCATTAGTATGTTTTAAGATGTAGTGATTCACATGTTACAAGGATCAGTCTTGTGGTGAGGTAGAGAATGGATTACAGAGTGACCAGAGTAGAAGCAGGAGCGTCAGATAAGAGGCTACTGCCAAGGACTAGATTAGGTGAGAGAACTGGCTCAATATCTTGGAAGTAAGAGAGAATTAGGCTGATAGATTAGATATGGAGGATGGGGTTGGGGGGAGAGAATTAAGGATGTTTCCTAGATTTTTGGCTTGAGCAACTGGGTAAATAATGGTGTCACTTACTGAGATGGAGAAAGCTTTGGAAAGAATGGGTAGGAAATTGAGAGCTCAGTTTTAAATGTTAAGGAATACTAACAAATTTTCATAAAATTCAAAATTAAAGTGAACTACAAAAAAGGAGCTCAAATATTTTTAAGCACTGTTTTGACTTGATCAGAGAAAATGGTTCCACAATAAATTTAAAATTATTTACAGATGAAGAAAAATAACAGATTTCTCAGAATATCCTCAGCAAACCTTTTTCCTAAAATGTTTTCCTAAACATTTCCTAAAAATGTTTCCTAAACTGGTACAGCCTTCCTGCAGCTAGTAAAGCGCTGCTGGTACATAAATATTCATGGGATAAAGAACACAGGCACACAGGAAGGTATAGTTCTTAGAATAAAACTGAATTTAGGGATGTGATTGATTTACTTCATGAAAAGATAAGTTTCTAAAAATTGTAATCCCAATTATGACATTTAAAGAGAAGTATGAAATATATTTAAGTTGCATAAAACATTTCTGTGAGAGCAAAATCTAACTTTCTCCTGAGCTTCTCTAGATTTCCTACAAGGTTGATTTGTTATCTTTCCTGCCACAATGGGGATTACATGACCAAAGGCAACTACTAACCTCCTTTTCCAGTTACAATTTTTAACCTCAAATAATCATAAGCCAACATTTTAACAATACCATGTGCATAAGAGCACGTGGGGTACATACCCAAGGTCACAGAGTAAGTTATTTGCACATATCTGAGGGCATTCAGAAGAGGATCCACTCAGCCTTACTCTGGCTAAGACTTTCTATCTCTTCAAAGCTAATATGCAAAAAAAAAGCAAAAAACACAACTGAATTCTTTATTCTTTTCAATATAACATGATTTCTCAAGCTCTAGAAATATCTCTATTTCCTCAGAAAATAATCCATTGCAATTGGCATTTTAAGCAAGAACTTAAAAAATACGGCTTATGGATTTTTTTTGGATTACATCATTTTGGGGAAGGAAAGAAATTATAAAACCAGCTATAACCATTACAGTACCTCTTCCCTTAAACCTCCTGACACAGAGTTCCTGGCAACTTGTATCCTCCTCCACACTTTAAAAAGAGATTTAATCAATTGACAAAGAGGACACTGATTTCTGATATTTTTGTTTTGCAAGATATTATACAATTATTACTGACCTAAATTAAGTTTCCTATGAAATACACTCATGCTTTATATATAGGATTTATTTCTGTTGCCTGAATTTATCCTATAATAAAAACTTACTGGAAAAAGTACATCATAAGCCCTGGCTGGTGACTCGGTTAGTTGGAGCATCATCCTGTGCACCAAAAGGTTGTGGGTTTGATCCCCAGTCAGGGAACATACCAGGTTTCAGGTTCAATCCCTGGCTGGAGCACATACAGGAGGCAACCAACAGATCGATGTTTCTCTCTCCTCCTCCTCCCTTCCTTTCTCTCTAAAATCAATAAATATATCGTCGGGTAAGGATGAAAAAAACTGCATCATAAGAATACACAGGTATTCTCTGACATACAAACTACAGCAGTACCCTAGTCCTCTCAAGGTTCAGGATGCCATGAGAGCCACTGTGATAAATACTTCAGTGTCCATTCGGAAGCAGTGAAAGGAAAGCAACATGACAAAAAGGAACAGCTAAGAGGAAGACACTGGAGATGTCTCTCATTAACCCTAAATCTTTTCCTCCAAAAAGCCAAACTTTTAAGATTTGTTATTTTGCCATTAACAATGAGGCAAAATCTTTTCTTCTTTTGAAAGCTGCCTTCAGTGTCTAATCACCATAAATTATACAGACTTTCATAAGTTCTCCATTATTTATTAAATGAATGATGAAAATGTGCTGAGGTCTAGATAACCTGTTTACAAATGACTTTTGAGAAGCAACCCATACGGGACAGCAGAGTTCACAGCTAATATGTGATGTGGTTCAAACTGTAAATTGCTTAGGGATTACTTTGATGTACTATGTATTTTTTCAACAACAGTTCAATTGGTGACATCTTCCATTTTAATCTGCTAATAAGCAGAATGTTTGGAAATGTTAAAATTATTATCTGCAGTAGCTTGTTATGAACATTTATCTACACAGAAGCAAGGGAAAGGAAGAATGGAACCGAAATGAATCTTTTAATGATCACAGTTACTGGAAAGCTGATCTAAGGCTATACCAGAAAAAAAAAAGATGTATCTCCTTTACGAAATGCTTTTTAACCACTGCAATGCCTAAGGCCAGCCCAAATGCATCTTTCCCTACCTGGCTTAGCACAATATAAATACAATTCAGTTGATAATTTTGTTCTAGGCCATTTTTTTCCTAAAGATTTTATTTTTAGAGGGAGGGGAAGGAAGGGAGAAAGAGAGGGAGAGAAACATCAATGTGTGGCTGCCTCTTGTGTGCCCCCAACCCTGGTGGAAGACCTGGCCAACAACCTCTGTATGCGCCCTGAATGGGAATCGAAACAGCAACCTTTTGGTTCATAGGCCTGCGCTCAATCCACTGAGCTACACCAGCCAGGGCCCAAGCCATTTTGAAATGATTGAAGATGATTAAAACTTAAGACTTAAGTGTCTTTTTTATTTGTAAGAAGAATCTAGGATGAAAATGAAACCACCATATTTATCTGTTGTCCTAGTTCTTTATTATGTATAATAAAGAATGAGATTTACAGAAATGAACATATATTTTAAATGTTCTGCCTTTGGTCCAAACTGTCCTGAACTCTTTGAAGAGGGTACAAGTAAAAACAAAACATCCAAATGTAGTCTAGTGCATGGATATTACCTCATCTACCTGCAAAATACATTTTTATAGTCCTTAGACAACCAATGATCCTTTTTTCAGTTTTAGAAAGAAATCAACAACATTCTGCTCTATTCCATCAACACATCTAAAGCCACTAGTTTTCTACCTAGCCAATAGTTTGTAAGTACAAATAAGTATATGTAACATTATGTAATTTCCAAATAAGTTTCATTAGTTCTAATATCAAAATGACCATTTCTGTCTCTTCTTTACCCAACAAGATAAAAAGGCAAAAATGGAATACAGGCTATAAGGACCACTAAAAATGCAGGGAAAATAAAATTTAAAGACTAAAATGTGAGTATGGAATACACAATCTCTTCTCCTGTACTGCTGTAAACAACTGGTATAAAGACATGTCAACCTGATTAAACCCTCTTGATGGAATCTTTTGTGGAAAAAGGACAAATCTTAGTAAGATGAAAATCTAAGATATTTTCACTTTAGAATATGAATACAGTCAAATATACCAGTCTCACTTGAAAACTGACAGCAATAAACCTTATTAAATAGATGCAAATACTAATCGTGCAGTTAAGCATACCCAGCTAGGATATTAGAAAACTTGAAGGTAACTCACTCTTCTAATTAAGGAAATTGATGTTAAAGAAAATTTTACATTCCTTATGTATAATGGCTAGAGAGGAACTACAAAGTTGTACTCTGTTTTGTTTTTAAAAGATCAATCAACATACGTTTACATTTCCCATTTCAATCAAATCATATTACATAAACATTTTTGAAGATTATTTTAAAGATTTAGTTAAGAAAAAATTTACTTAAAAAACTATGAATGAAAGAAACCATTTTAAAATCACTATTAAAAATAAAACACTATGACTGGACTAAGAGAACACATGAGAAAGTTTTAGGGCCAAATAAATGATAATACCATGATCTTGTAACAGTATAGATTTCCACTTTAAAAGTCCATTAAAAAAACCACTTGTTAATGAAACGATTCTACTTTATATAACCTATCTAAACTATTCTAAATAGAATCTTAAGCCAACTGAAGAGAAATGGACAAAACAGAACTTAAGTAAAATGGGATTCTCCAAAATAAAACTAATCACATAGTGTAATTTTTGTGTAATAAAAATCACACAAAAAAATCACGCCAAAAAACATGACGGCATTATGTTCTACCATTGTATTTCAAACCATCATGTTGCTCAAATAAAAACTAAAATACTTTGTAAAATGGAGTTTTTGATTTAGCATTTCAAGACACTTTTTAGTGTCTTGGCTAACAAAGCTTAGCAAAGTACAGTCATATAATTCATATGTCATGTAATTTGCAACCTAGGAGAAAGAACATCTGCCAGATTTTGTCTAATCATTCTTTTCTAGTGGGTTTCAAATAAAGATAATGGGGCAGCTATATATGCAACAGTCTAATACGCATAAAAGTTCTCCAGGTTTAAAACTACAAGTTCATTTAACTCCTCGAGTTTCACTTTCCTTTTCGCCTAAGTCCTGTAGTGGCCTTAAGGGCATATGGGCCTTTGCTTGCAACAAGGGGTTAAGGTCCGTGAGTGATCAGCAGGAGCAAAGGAGTTCGAAACGGAGCCCAATCGAGTGGGATAAGAAAATCCAGGACGGCTACCGGAGACGATGAGCGTCCTCCGTACCAGGGCCACCGGCAGAGGAATGTGGCTGGCCGCTCCGGTACCCCTACTAGGAATTCGCCCATCTCGAAGAGACATTATCTGCCTAGCAAGGGCTGAGAGCAGCCGACTCAGCTCCACGGGGAAAATCCCACTTCTCAAACCACGCTCCCTCTCTCCACAGCCGAGCCCCAGGGGCTGTTACTCAATTAACTGACCGGCTCCTCCGGGGAGCCCTGGCCCAGGTCAATCCAGCTCAGCCCAGGGCCAGAAGGCCGCGCTCCTGGGTAAGGCGTACGCTCGGCCGCTAACACCCTAGGCCGCCCAACCCCGGACCCGGACTCGCCAGGAGCATGGAGCCCCGAGCCTTGAGCCCCCGGTGGCGCGCGAACCTGCAGGCAGGCGGCCCCGGCTGGGCCCGCCTCAGCCCCTCGCCGCGCACCCACCCCCGCCAGGCCCCGCCTCCTGCCATCCATCCTTCCATACACCTCCTCCCCACCGCAGCGCTAGCTTCACCTGCCCCGCGACGCTACCCGCGCCTGCCCTAGGGGCTGTCCAGCGCCACGACCCCGACCGGTCGCCCCCCGCCCGCAACCTCGCGCTCGCTCCCAGTGTACCCTCTCCTCCACCCTCACCTGCCCTCGCCCCTGGCTTCTACCTTGTAAGAGTCTGTGGCCAGGAGGATGTTGAATTCGGCTTCGGCTGCAGCATTCATCTCGGGCCGGAGCGAGGGCCGCGAGCCGCGGGCTGTCCGGCGCCGCTGCGAGAAAGGAGAAAAAAATGGGCTTCACCGCGCTCCGTTGCTTAAGTCACCGCTCGGTCGGGGGCGGGGGGAGATGATGGGGAGACGGAGAGGGGAGGAGGGACGGTCCAGGAGTCCTGACGCAGCAGGGGCGGTAGCAGAGGCGGCTAGCGCACACGCAGTCTGGATACTCGGATAGCCTCTTCACCTCTGCTCCCCGCCCCCGCCCCATTATCCCGTCCGGGACGCGAGGGGCGGGGCGCGGCCGCGCATGCGCAGCGCGTGGGGGGCGAGGCAGGCGAGCTCGACGTGCGGCACGCGCGCCTGCTAGGAGACGCCCACCTAGGGAAGCTGGAGGCTGAGGGGCCGGCCCGGCCTTTGACCTAGGCCTCAGCCTTGGTTTCATTTCCCGGCTGGGCTAGGAGGAACCGGGAGGAGGGGCTTTCCTTTCTGTGACTCTCCTGCAATCGCCGGTTCGCCCGCCTCTTGGACACCTTCGTGTCTAACCAGTCCCGGCTTGTTTTCTGAGTTCTTCTGAAGTCACGCCACCCGGCTGGGCGCCGAGGAGCCTCCTCTGCCGGTCTTCCCGTGCCCCCCACGCAGTTACTCACCTTTGTTTTCGGCTTGGCTTAAGGATCGAGCCTTTTGCCTCCATCTCTCTTGTCCCTCCTGATCCTAACCCTCGTTTTAAAATCTGAAGACATGCGGTGAGGAATAAGGTCTGATGGGCCCCTTTAAAACTGTCACAACGACCCCGCTTTCCTCTTGCTTTATGACAGATCTTTGATCCTTTGAGGGATGTTTTGACTTTCCTGGAAAAAACTAACCGCCGAAAGGTAGGGGTTGTATTCAGTCCTTACAGACAAAGAGATGGCAAGACCTAATTGAATCTAATATTGCCAAGAAGTAAACGGCAACAGTCCAAAGTCTTTGACAGGGTGCGAAACTGACTTATCATTGTTACCAAAGTTAAATCTTGGGAACGGGTTGGCCACTAAATAACGCAAGTGAAACGACGTCAGATGACTTTACCCAGGTGCTGACCATGTATTTGCGCAATTTCCATACGTGGGTACATTTTTGCGTAAAACAAAGATTCCCTTTGTCCACGTGGCCAATAAGCTACTGCTTTTTAATTTTGATTTGGGTTTTACAAGATACAAGTAGCTGGAAAAAAAGTGGTTTAACGAAAACTGATAAGGGACTTGATAGACTGTCGTTTAAGTTAGTGGAAGTCTCATTTTATGAGGGAAGAAAGGAAGTGTGATCAGACAGATTCATCATAAGAAAACAGACCTCTTCAATTAAAAGTAACTTCGGTCCAGACTATGGTTTGGAGCACATACATATTCTTGACAGTGGCCTCCATCTATATAGATAGATTTCATATCATCAAAACTCACAGAAGTGAGAGCTCTAGGCATTCACTAAAGTAGTGAATGATACATTTTTAGAATTATTTTCAGCAACGGGTTTAAAACAAAGGAGTTTTTTTATTTTTGGTATGACCATGTATTTACTGGGGAAAATTGCCTTTTTTTGAAATACTGTTATTTATTTATTTTTTGTTGTTCAAGTACAGTTGTCTCCATTTTCACCACACCATGCCCCACCCTTCCCTGCCTCCCACCCTGGAAACTACCCCTTTTGGCTTTGTCCATGTGTCCTTCATACATATTCCTCGATGGCCCTTCCTGGATATTCCCCCATTATCCCTCTCCCCCGCTTACCCCTCTGGTTACTGTCAGTTTGTTCTTAATTTCAGTGTCTCTGGTTATATTTTGCTTGCTTATTTGTTTTGTTGATTAGGTTCCACTTATAGGTGAGATCCTATGGTATTTGTCTTTCACCACCTGGCTTATTTCGCTTAGCATAATGCTCTCCAGGTTCAACCACACTGTCAGAAGGATAGGAGGGAGCTCCTTCTTTCTGCTGTGTAGTATTCCATTGTGTAAATGTAACATAGTTTTTTTATCCATTCGTTTACTGGTGGGCACTTAGGTGCTTTTAAAAATAAATAATGAAATTATTTAAGATTTTTTTATTTTGGGAGATTTTGTTAATTTAGTTCAAGCAGTGCAGTTCAGAGAAGGAAAATGATCCTTTTTGCCCCTCTCAGTTAGGTGCTGTTTTCTTTATTCATTTAAAATTTCCATAATCTATTTTGCTTAAATGACAAATTCTCTTTGTTAGCTTCCTGGAATCCATGTATGTGTAACTGACCATTGTTCTCTACTGCTTTACACAGGGCCAAGAAAATGAATTCTGAGTACAAAGTGGGCTTTGTTTATGGAAGCATTTTTGTTCTAAAAAATGCAAAATATCCCTGGCTGGGTGGCTCAGTTTCTCCTACATAACAAAAGGTAGGTTGTAGGTTTGATCTCCCATTAAGGGCACATAACTAGGTTGTAGCTTTGCTCCCCAGTCGAGTGCCTGCGGGAGGCAACCAATTGATGTTTCTTTCTCACATCAATGTTTCTTTCTCTCTCTCTCTCTCAAATCAATAAACATATCCTTGGTGAGCATTTTAAAAAATTAAAATAAAAAAGCAAAGTAAATTTTGATTTTTCAGTATTTGAGATGGATTTGAAGTTTAAAGATGAGAAAGTTTAATATCAGTGCAAGTAAAAATGTTAATATTACATTGACATGTTAAATGTAGAAATAGTCATAAGGCCTGTACACATATTCGTGACTTAAACCCTCAGGGCAATCTCCAGAGAAAAAGAGGAAAATTCAGTTGCGTTTCCAATAAAAAATCACCGTTTGCTTATGATAGAATTAGTTACACTCTAAGTGTAACTATATGCTTAAGTCAAACCAGTTTTGAAGTAATCAGGGTTTAGAACTAGAACCAGGAAGTTATCACCAAATATAAAGTCAAGATTTCGTTTTGAAATGACCCCCACCTTGAAAGACAGTTGAATAGCTAACACACCTAGTAACATGTAAAACATCTGAGAAACTGTTTCTCATTGGTTCCCACAAAATGACAAAACCTGACTAGTACAAAGACTGAGATGGACCCCATCACTTTATTCAAAGCCCTGGGTTAATCTATCATTCCTACCAAACAGCCAGTCAAGCAGGGTGAATTGGGTATCCAGCTCCTTTATACCCCACAGAGCGCTATTTGAAAGGCCTCTGGACCCATACATTTGATCAGGCAAAGTGGGTGTAACTACACCATTCCTGTTTGCACACACCTTTCCAGATAGCCTTTGGTACACTTTTGTATTTCTAAGTTGCCTCAGAATTCCAATCTGACCCATTATCACCCCAGTGAAAAACATTGGAGAAATAGATGTAGGGTTCACCCACCTACAGTCATGACGATGTTCCCATCCATCACCCTTTAAAACTTCCTTCAGCCCTAACCAACCAGCAACAATTGTCAAAAGACAAACATGACAGAGGAAGTTTTAAATTAAAGTTATACCTTTTTCTTATTCAAACTTTCATTGTTTCTTCGGTACCACTCTGAGTTCTAATTTCTTAAGGAAAAGGCCTCATCTACAGAGAGACATGGGTCTTCATGGATCCTATTATCGGTGCTAACCATCCCAGAAGCACTCTTCAGTGACTCACTCTACTGGGACCTCTACAATCATATACAGACATGCAGAAAACTGCTGAGTCTTAGCCTATAAGTGTGGAAGTTACAGTAACCCACATATGGGAAGAATTAGTGCACATATAGAATTGTTTACAGGCATTGCACCTCAAAATGTTCCTGTTGTTGACTAAAAAATACTATCAACCAGGTATTTCATCACCAAAAAGGATGTATTCAGGAAAAAGAAAGGGGTTGCAACCCATTGCATGCAGACATAGCAAGCCACATGCACACTCTGTCCTGTATTCCAAGGTGGGCAAGTATTTATATAAATGAAAAGGAAGTTAAGGGAAGGGGAAGTTACAGCTATAGGGTTCTTGCAATTACGTAGAGTATAGTAGAGAATGAGAACTTCCATAAGCTCTTCCCATAGATCCTCCCAACTGATTATTTCCTTAATGTTTCACTTAATCTTTATCACCATACACTTTCTATGGTAGCTAATGGTCTGACTGTGCTACGCTCTCTGTTTTCCTGGCTTGATTATCTATTGTTAAACTGTTTTCACATCTCATATTCTGCAGAAAGTCTTCCCAATCTATGTATACTGCATAGCAAGTCTTAATTTTCCCACCTTTATTAGTTGTGGTTTGGGTTTCTATTATATCCAAACATAAATTTTTCTAATCCCAACCAAATAAAATGGTAAATAAAGGTAGAAAGCAAAAAGAAAAGGTTTGAGTTCATCTTTAAAAGTAAAGTAAACATGTTACATATTAGTATGTAAAGTACATGTTATGATGCTATGTGTACAGATTTGAGTGTTATAATTACTTATAAATTTTGCTGATGGCCACTTTAAGACTCAATGACCAAAATCAATGAGAGAATGAGAATGTTAGAAGTATAAAAAATTGTCATGGTCTTTTAATATGAAATATTTTTCTATGTGAGGCTTGCTTATTTGAGATGTGTATCGGTGGCACTCAGATAAACACTTTTAACTTTAATAATTATTTTAATAGGTTTTAGAAAAATATAACTAGCACATAAAACTCGACTTTTTCTGGGGAATTACTACTTAGGATGAAACCAAAGTAAGTGGGCACTCATAGATTGTTGAACCTTACTACTTTCCTTGCCCTTTTAACCTATACATTGTTTTCATAGCCTCAACATTAAGACTGGTTTCCTTGAGAAAGCTAAATATGAAAGACTACATGCTGTATAATTTCACTTATATAAAATTCTAGAAATTCTGTAGTGAAAGAAAGCAGATCAGTAATATTCAGAGACTAGGTTAAGGCAAGCAGAGAATTTTGGTAAATATTTATTGAATGAATGAAGAGGTAACTTCTATCACCAACAAAAGCAGGATGGGCCTTGTGATAGACTGCATTGTTTGTCCATATTCAAAGGCCCTCTCTATTGTATTGTTCATCAATATTCATTCTTCCTGTCCCATGTCACTGTTCTATTGAACTCAGGCATGATCATGGGAGTTGCTTTAGCCATGAAATGTGAACTGATGTGATGTACATCATTTCCCATCAGAAGCTTCAAGGGCTCATGCATGGCTTGCCATTCTCTCTTTTTCTTCTGTCACAAAGGCTATAGTATTCCAGGTAGGGGCTGAGTTACATCTCTAAATCCTGAAATGTGGACAACACAGAACTGAATCAGAG